ACACAACATACCACAACCCATGGGATACAGCAAAAGCAGCCCTAAGATGGAAGTTAATAGCCATAAGTACCTACATGAGAAAAGACAAAAAAACTTCAAATAAACAATCTAACAAAGTATCTTAAAGGACTGGAGAAGCCAGAGAAAAACCCAAAAAATAGTAGAAAAGAAATAATAAAGATCAGAGCAGAAACAAATGAAATTAAAATAAAGAAAAAATACAAAAGATCAATGAAACAAAAAGCTGGTATTTTGAAAAGTTAAACAAAACTGACAACCTTTATCCAGACTAAGAAAAAAATGGGGCCGGGCGCGGTGGCTCACGCCTGTAATCCCAGCACTTCCAGACCAAGAAAAAAATGGGGCCGGGCTGGTGCAGCTCACGCCTGTAATCCCAGCACTTTGGGAGGTTGCAGGCGGGCGGATCACAAGGTCAGGAGATCACACTATCCCAGCACACGGTGAAACCCCGTCTCTACTAAAAATAGAAAAAATTAGCCGGGCGCAGTGGCGGGCGCCTGTAGTCCCAGCTACTTGGGAGGCTGAGGTAGGAGAATGGTGTGAACCCGGGAGGCGGAGCTTGCAGTGAGAGCCGAGATTGCGCCAAATGTGGCTCAGGCCTGGGCGACAGAGAGCGTACTCCATTAAAAAAAAAAAAAAAAAAAAAAGAAAGAAAAAAATGGAAGATACCAACAAAATCAGAAAAGAAAGAGGAGACATTACAATTTATGCTGCAGAAATTCAAAGGATCATTAGAGGCTACTATGACCAACTGTATGTCAATAAATTGGAAAGCCTAAAAGAAATGAAAAATTTCTAAGCACATAATATCTACCAAAATTGAACCAGGAAGAACTCCAAAATCTGAAGAGATCATTAACAGGTAACAAGACTGAAGATCTAACAAAAAGTCTCCCAGCAAAGAAAAACCCAGAACCTGATGGCTTCACTGCTTAATTCTACCAAACATTTACAGAAGAAATAATGCCAATCCTACTCAAACTATTCTGAAAAATAAGGATGAGGGAATACTTCCAAACTCATTCTACAAGGCCAGAATTACCCTGACACCAAAACCAGACAAAACCACATGAAAAGAAAAGAAAAGAAAAGAAAACTACAAGCCAGTATCTCTGATGATTGTTGATGCAAAAGTCCTCAACAAAATACTAGCAAACCAAATTCAGCAATACATAAGAAAGATCATTCATCATGACCAAGTGGGATTGATTCCTGGGATGCAAGAATGGTCCAACATATGCAATTCAATTAATGTGATTCATCATATCAACAGAATGAAGGATAAAAACCATCTGATCATTTCAATTGATGCTGAAAAAGCATTTGATAAAATTCAACATTCCTTCATGATAAAAACCCTAAAAAAGCTTGGTATAAAAGGAACATATTTCAACATAATACAAGCCATATACAAGAGACCCATAGTTAGTATCATACTGAATGGAGAAAAACTGAAAGCTTTTCCTTTAAGATCTACTACATGACAAAGATGCCTATTGTCATCACTATATTCAGCATAGTACCAGAAGTCTTAGCTACAGCAATCAGATGAGAGAAAGAAATAAATGACATCCAAACTGGGAAGAAGTCAAATTATCCTTGTTTGCAGATATGATCTTGTATTTGGGAAAACCTAAAGATTCCACCAAAAGACTATTAGAATTGATAAATTCAGTAAAGTCACAGGATACAAAACTAATATACAAAATTCAGCAGCATTTCTATATATCAACAGCGAACAATGTGAAAAAGAAATAAAACATGTAATTCCACTTACAATACCCATGCATAAAATTTAATACTTAGGAATTAACCAAAGACGTGATACACCTCTATAATAAAAACTATAAAACATTGATGAAAAAAATTAAAGAGGACACCAAAGACTGGAAAGATATTTCATGTTCATGAATTAGAAGAATCAATATTGTTAAAATGTCTATGCTACCCAAAGGAATCTGCAGATTCAATGCAATCCCTATCAAAATGCCAATGACATTCATCACAGAAATAGAAAAAAAAAAATCTAAAATTTATATGGAACCACAAACACCCAGAATAGCCAAACAGCTAATCTAAGCAAAAAGAACAAACCTGGAAGAAACACATTACCTGATTTCGAATTATACTACAGAGCTATAGTAACCAAAACAGAATGGTATTGGCATGAAAACGAACACATAGACCAATGGAGCAGAGCACAGAACTCAGAAACAAATCTTCACAGCTACAGTGAACTCATTTTTGACAAAGGTGCCAAAAACATACACTGAGGTAAAGACAGTCTCCTCAATAAATGGTGCTGGGAAAATTGGATATCTACACACAGAGGAATAAAACTAGGCCCCTATCTCTTGCCATATACAAAAATCAAATCAAAATGGATTGAAGACTTAAATTTAAGACTTCAAACTATCAAGCTACTACAAGAAAACAGCGGGAAAAAATCTCCAGAACATTCATCTGGGCAAAATGTTCTTGAGCAAATCCCACAAGCACAGGAAATCAAAGTAAAAATAGACAAACGGGATCACATCAAGTTTAAAAGCTTCTGCATAGAAATGAAACAATCAACAAAGTGAAAAGACAATCCACAGAACAGGAGAAAATATTTGCAAACTATCCCTCTGACAACAGATTAATAACCAGAATATATAAGGAGTTTCCTAACAACTCTATAGGAAAAAACAACAACAACAAATAATCCAATCAAAAAATGGACAAAAGATTCGAATAGACATTTCTCAAAAGAAGACATACAAATGCAAACAGGCATATGAAAAAGTGCTCTACATCATTGATCATCACAGAAATGCAAATCAAAACTACAATGAGTTATCATCTTACCCCAGCTAAAATGGCTTATATCTAAAAGACAAGAAATAACAAAGGCTGGCAAAAAGAGAACCCTAGTACATTGTTGGTGGGAATGTAAATTAGTACAACCACTATGGAGAACAGTTGGGAGAGTCCTTAAAAAACTAAAAATTGAGCTACCATACGATCTAGCAATCCCACTAATGGGTATATATCCAAAAGAAAGGAAATCAGTATATTGAAGAGATATCTGCACTCCCATGTTTGTTGCAGCACTGCTCACAGTATCTGACATTTGGAAGTAACCTAAGTGTCCATCAACAGATGAACAGATAAAGAAAATGTGGTACTTATACACATGGAGTATTATTCAGCTGTTAAAAAGAATGAGATCCTGTCATTTGCAATAATATGGATGGAGTCGGAGGTCATTATGTTAAGTGAAATAAGCCAGGCACATAAAGACAAACATCACATATTCTTGCTTATTTGTGGGATCTAAAATTATAACAATTGAACTCATGGGCATAGAAAGTAGAAAGATGGTTACCAGAGGTTGGGTAGGGTAGTGGCAGGGTTGGGGGTAGGGATGGCTAATGGCTACCAAAAAATGAATAAGACCTACTACTTGATAGTAAAACAGGGTGACTAAAGTCAGTAATAACTTAATGGCATACATTTTTAAATAACTAAAAAAGTAGAATTGGATTGTTTGTAACACAAAGATAAATGCTTGAGGATACCCCATTTTCCATGATGTGATTATTTCACATTGCCTGCCTATATCAAAACATCTCATATATCCCATAAATACATACACCTACTATGTACTCACAAAAAATATTAAAAAATTAAAAATAAATGAAAAGTGGGAAAATGACATGAACAGATACTTTTCAAAACAAGACATTTATGCAGCCAACAAGCATATGGAAAAATGCTCAATATCACTAATCATTAGAGAAATGCAAATCAAAGCCACAGTGAGATACTATCTCACACCAATCAGAATGACTATTATTAAGAAGTCAAAAATAGCAGATGCTGGCAAGGTTGTGTAGAAAAGGCAACACTTATACACTGCCAATGGGAATGTAAACTAGCTTAACCACTGTGGGAAGCAGTTTGGGGTTTTCTCAAAGAACCTAAAACAGAATTACCATTTGACCCAGCAATCTCATTATTGGGCAGATACCCAAAGAAATATAATTGTTCTACCATAAAGACATATGCATGTGTGTGTTCATCACAGTGCTATTCACAATAGCAAAGACATGGAATCAGCCTAAATGCCCCTCAGTGGCAGACTGGGAACATATATTCTTACTTACAAGTGGAAGCTAAACATTGAGTACATATGGATGCAAAGAAAGAAATGACAGTTACCAGGGCCTACTTGAGGGTGGAGGATTGGAGGAGGTTGAGGACTGAAAACTATCTATCAGGTACTATGTTTATTACATGGGAGATGAAATAATTTGTACACCAAACCCCAACCCCTATGACACATAATTTACCTACATAGCAAAACTGCATATGTACCCCTGAACCTAAAATAAAAGTTAAAAAAAAGATGGTGAATACCAAAATAAATAAATTAATAAAAATTTAAAAAAAGATTATTGGTTCTTACACTAGGCAGAAGAGAAAACTATTTTTCCCTAAAGATTATAGTCTTTTCTTTTCCTTGTATTCTTCTTCTTCCTTTTTTTTTTTTTTTTTTTTTTTTTGAGACAGGGTCTCACTGTCACCCAGGTGAGAGTGCAGTGGCATGATTTCAGCTCACTGCAACCTCCACCTCCCAGTTTCAAGTGATTCTCGTGCCTCAGCCTCCAGAGTAACTGGGACTACATGCACACACCACCATGCCTGGCTAATTTTTGTATTTTTTTTTTTTAGTACAGACAAGTTTCCACCATATTGGCCAGGCTGGTCTTAAATGCCTCAGCCTCCCAAAGTGCTGGGATTACAGGCGTGAGCCACCACGCCCAGCCTAGATTATAGTCTTTTCCAGTTGTGCTACCCATTAGACATGTAAAGGCATTAGAAAATGATACTAGTGTTAAATAAGTTTAAAACCATCTCAAAAGCCTATCTGGGGTTTTTCCAAGAGATCTACAGCACAAGTCATTATATATCTCCATTCAACTGAAAATTCTTACTTTCAGGAAGAGATGAAAATCCTGAATTGACCAAATTGCTCATAAACTCTTGTAAATTCACTGTCCCATCCTCTGAAAGAAAAATGCAAGTCAAAGGACATGGAAAAAGTAAATAATCAAATATAAGAAACAGACAACTATAATTGCTATATTGAGAAATAATATATAGATATGGCTTTGAAACTGATATATTCAGTCAAAAACACAGGTGCATACATATCATTCAGACACACACACATATACTCATCCTCTATAGATTTCCCACTTTATGCTGTTACTGAAGATTACTAGAACACAGATGACAATAACTAGAACCCAGATGAACAGTAGGTATTTTAAGCCTTGGATAATCTATGAAGCAGAAAAGCCTCTTAAGAATTCTTGAAACATTCAAACTGATTCATGTTAACTAAGATAAAGGATACCTAGAAATACATTAAATACTCACCCCTGGGAGCCACATTCTTCAGTGCTCTTTGAATCACATCTTGGGGTAATGGAACTCCTACAGTTTTCAACATGAAGTCTAGGTCATCAGGGTTTGCCACGTTTTTCTTAATGGAGGCCAGAACTTTCAAGGAATCTTCTGTTTCTATTTGGAAAAAAAAAACACAGTACAAAAATTTTTTTAAACACTCAAATATTGTTAGTAGATTCTGAATGATAGTAATAACTACTGCTACTACTGCCCATTGAGTACTGTCTGAGCTTGCTAGACACAAGCAAGCTCATCTCAGAGATTACAGGTATCTCATCTCATTTAATCCCACAAAAGCTCTGTGGAGTCAGTACCAATATTTCCCTTATTTAAGAGATAAGAAAATCTAGCCTTAGAGAGGCTATTCTGTCCAAGAACCCATAGATACTAGATGTGAAATCAAGTCTGAAATCCAGGATAACTGATGTTATAGGCAGAATGTTTAACCATGATGTTAACCAAGTCATTGCAGATATTTAAATCTGAGATTTAAGAATGATTACATAGAACTCAGAACATCTGCTTAGTCTCTTCTCTATCATATTTGAGGCTGAGAATTCTATTAAAGATATGACAACTAACCATAAATTAATTGTTTTGCCTAAAATTGGATAAATGGTCATCTTTTAATATGACTGTCATCAATGAATTTTTTTCATTTAGCAGATCACTTGCATGCATCAACACATATACACAAAAATGTCCCCCCAAAATGGAAAGCTTGGTACTAATATATAACTACCAAAAAAGGTAATATTTAATTTGGAAAGTACCATGGATAAATTATTCTAACAAGCAAAAAAAAAAATGTTAAGCATTGTATTATGATGAACATCATTATATCAAAAACATTTACCCTGTATGAGTTTAAACTTATGAATGACCTATCTAGGAGAGTCTTATAGGTGTCAATTACAAAACCAAGGATTAAAGAAAAACTATTTCATCTGTTGAAATACTTACCACTTTGCCATCCTAATAATTTCATTTTGTAGCTCCCTAAATTAGGTCTTTTGAATTCAGTTTGGTTTCAATTTAGAAAACATTTAGAAAGAGTTTAGAAAACACTAAGCATTTAAACTCTTCTCAAAAATACTGGCTTCTCCAAGAAGACTCAGGGAATCCAAAATAGTTGTGAATTTACTAATTAAATTAGCCTAAACATTGAGGAGACCCAGAAGTTCCACAGACTTTTTTTATGTTGAGGATGTTGGTTAATTAAATATATTAAAAATAGATTACATACAATCCCTTATGGATTGGTAGTGGAGTAGTGGAAGAATACCATAAAGGAAGTGTATATGTTTCAAAATGTTCCTATATGTTTCTAAATGTTTCAACAGTGAATTGTCTCATGACAAAATCTCATTTTAATAAAGAGATAATAGGATAGAGAAAAAGAAGTAACACTGATCTTATTCCCACAGAATTTTGGTAAAATAGAAGATATTTCCAACTGATAGCAGTCATCTTGGACCACAAACTTGGACACTAGGATGAATCATCTAGATAAATTTTGTCTATTTACTCTTTTTGAGTGATGAACAAATATACTACAATTCTAGAAAATAGCAGTTGAGAAAACACCAGGACTAGAATCCCCTATTGATTCTTGATCCAATGTACATTTATTTATGTGTGTGTGCATATTTACATATTTAGGCATACACACACACACACACACACACACACATCTTTCTTTACAGCATTAGAAAACTGCATAAATGAATATAATTAACACCAAACAATTCCATTCAAACTTTTTATTGTTAAAAATTCTCACTCACTTGAAGCTTTAGTAAAATACGGTGTTTGCATCAACTGACTCAGGCAATCTTTTAAGTTCACTTTCCCCTCTTCTGAAAATGGAACATAAAGGGATGGATAACATTTCGTCAAAAGATACCAAGCAATGGTGTTAGAAGATATCCATGCCTACTTAATCTTTAAGACTAAAATGTTTTCTAACTCTGATTCTGCTATACATACCTCAGAATAACTATGAAAAGGAATATGATTATGATGACTCTTGTGGTCATTTTTGTTGTAGTGTCAATGAGCATTTTGTGGATTTTACACACACCTTAACCAATTGGGACAACTGTTTTGGTATGTTTCCTCTCCCATTTTATATTATCTTAATTTTTCAGTATCACAAGCCCTATAAGTGCCTATATTTTCAAGGAAGACAATTTATCTGCCAGAAAATAAGTCTTATAAACCAAACTCAACCATAATATCTAAAGAAGACTATGCTTATGAGCAAAGATATATTAGTAAAGGAAGTGTGCAATCTTTGGCTTTCTATCAGGCATATGCTTGGGACTTAAGATGAAAAAGAGCATCCCAAGGCTCTGCATGTAAACTAAACATTCCATTGGCAGGATTCTAAAAACTCCAGCATAGCCCATTGAGAATTCTAGGGAAACCCAACTGGTTGTGTGCATCAGCACACTAAGGATTAGGTCTTTGTTTCATGGGCTTGAGACAGCTTCACAGCTTCTGACAAACAAATAGGATACAGAGAGGAAGATTATATTTTCCTAGGATACTCAATATTAAGATAATCCAGAACAAATTCTCATTCAGCCCTAAAAGGGAAAATCTAGAGTTGCCGAACTCATTGCATTTGATTCCTCATCACTTAAGCTCTTTGGATTCTGAGTGAAAGTAAACACAAGCTTTTTGTGTTTAATAAATGACTCAGAAGTGTTACAGCTCTTTTAGAATTTGTCTAGCAGGCTTTCTGGTTTTTGCCAGAAAACCCTTCAAAAATTTTTCTTTAAATAAAGAAATGACTCAGAAGAGAAAATACATACTATCAACACAAACGGATCCAAGCACCTCCTGTAATTCTTCCTCTGGAAAATAAATCCCCAGGCCTTTCAGTACAGAATTTACATCATCAGCATCAAGTTTTTCATTGGTGACCTTGTCTAAGGCCTTTGCAAGTTTGTTAACCTCTATCAAGATAAAATAGAAAATATTTTCAGTTTAGCTACAGTCATATTGTAAATAATAAACTACAGTTCAAAACATTAGTATAGGTACCTGACATCGTTAATTTAAAGATGATATAGCACAGTGCAATTCACCTTAAATACTCAGGGGAGGGATCATTCCAAACTTAATCATCCAAAAAAATCCTTGATAACATTCTTGGTATGTGCCCTTACAGCATTTTTATATTTTAGTGGTATTTAATTAAAACTCTTTAATGGAAAACTTTGTTTCAGTTAGCAAGGTATCCTGACCATTTTCCCTTTCAACACACTATTCTACCAGCACCATTTTAAATGACTGTATAGTATTCCACTGCATTAATATATCCTATCTTTCTAAATGAAAGTTTAATTGTTATCATAAGTGGAATCCTGATGATAAATTTTCTTAAACATGCATCTGTTCACTAATGGTTTTTTCCTAACATAAATTTCCAAAGTTAAATGGGGTGCACGGTTTCAAGGCCTTTGAGATACAATGCCAAATAATGAAAGAAAATAGTCATTTTACCACATCCTTTCTAACTTCAACTTATTCTTTCTTCCTTTCTTATTTTTCTGAAAGAGCTTCTAAATGATAATGCCAATCCTCCCCTCCAATTCCTCCCCCTCAAAAAACAAACTCCTTTAGGAATTGAATTACACATATGAATTAATTTTGAGAAGTGACTTTAAATCCATCAATAAAATATTTCTCCATTTATTCAAATCATCTTTTTCAGCTATCAGCTCTATGACAATGACTTTCAAATGTTTCTATCACTGAACTCATCCAAATTTTAGTTCACATGTCTAACTGTTCCCTACCTAACTCTTCCTTCAAAGCCTTCCTCCATTTTTCCCTAAAACTCTCACCTTCACCTGAACTCCTAAAATAATAAACGTGTAACCACTCATTTGATCTTTTGGTATATTAGTTACACTTTTATATAAATGGCTTATTTTTCCAGCTAGACTTTAATATCCTTGTGGTCTACCTCTATACCATGCATATTTGTATTAAATATATGTATACTAACTATATTAACTTGTGATTATGGTATAAGATCAATTTTTCAACTAAACTAATAAGCTATAACATAGTTAAAAAAATAATAATCCCTGAACATGGAGTCTAATTTTTTTTTTTTTAGACGGAGTCTTGCTCTGTTGCCCAGGCTGGAGTACAGTGGCACGATCTCTGCTCACTGCAATCTCTGCCTCCCAGATTCAAACGATTCTTCGCCTCAGCCTCCCAAGTAGCTGGGACTACAGGCGCATGCCACCACATCTGGACAATATTTTGTACCTTTAGTAGAGACGGGGTTTCACTGTGTTAGCCAGGGTGGTCTCGATCTCCTGACCTTGTGATCCACCCGCCTCAGCCTCCCTAAGCTTCACTTTTCTCATTCTTGATTATAAGAAACCTACTTAACACAGTAGTCAAAAGAATAAACTGTGTAAACAAATTATATGAAAATGTTTGGTAAAACACCAAACACTATACAAATGTATTACTATTTGCCAACAAACTAATATGATATTATTTGAAACCAAACAAAATATAATGTAATACTATAGACATTTTTTGCCCTGAAATGCTTCTTAGACTAAAATAAGAGTTGGAGAAGAGTTTTGGTAACTTTATAAATCATTAGGCTATTAACTTATGGTTAAGTGAATTAGAGATTTTCAAAAGTATACTCAAAAGTTAGGGAGATATTTCACAGAGGGCAGCCATCACATGATGTCATGAAATGTTTCTTGGTGCCACAGTCAAGAAGACAACACCGAGTTGGATGCATCACTGATTCCAGTAAGTTAACATATATATCTTTATATGAAAAATTCATGGGGCAGCTTTGCCAAAATGGCTGAATAGAAACAGCTCTGCTCTGTGGCTCCCACTAAGAAGACGAAAATGAAGAGTGAATTCTGCATCTTCAATTGAGGGATCAAAGTTCTGTCACTGGTACTGACTAGGTGGTCGGTGCAATCCATGGGGAGTGAGGAAAAGTAGGTGGAGGGAAGGCCCACCTGGGAGCTTCACAGGGCAAAAGGAGTTCCCTCCCCTAGCCAAGGAAGTGAGGGATTGTGCTATCCCTCCCTGAAAACCATGCTTTTCCCACAGATCCTTGCAACTGCAAATCAGGAGGTCCCCTCGTGAGCCCACGCCACAAGAGACTTCAGTCCCAAGCACAGAGCTGTGCAGACTCACAGTGGCTGCTCAGGCAGCAGGCACTGAGACACAAGTGTTTTTGCATACTCCAGCTCTGGGAACTCTGGTGAGGTAGGAGATCTGTCCACTCCCATGGGAAGGGGGCTGAAGCTGGAGAGTCAAATGGCCTCACTTAGTGGGCTCCACTCCCATGGAACCCCACAAGCTAAACCCCACTGGCTTGGAATCCCCCCCAGCCAGTACAGCAGGCTGGAGACCACCTAAGAACATCAAGTTCTGGGGTTGGGGAGGAGAGGCCACCATCACCGCAGCACCAGTTGGCCATTTTTCCCTGCCACTGGTGCCAGCGAGACTGGGCAGTTTGGATGGGAGCAATTCCCCACCGTGCAGCACAGCGGCTGGATCAATTCGTGGTCAGACTGCTTCTTTATGTGGGACCTCAATCCACTCCTCCTCACCAGGTGGGGCCTCCCTGTAGGAATTTCAGCATCCCCAGCCAGGGGATGAGAGGAGCCCCTAGGAGGAGGGGAAGTTGCAGTATTATGCATCAATGGTCTTAGTCTTTTCTGCCTACTGGCTCTAGAGAGTCAGGGCAGCCTGAACAAGGGAGATTCCCCCCAGTACAGCACACCTACTCCACCAAGGGGTAGCCAGACTGCTTATTTAAGCAGGTGCCTGATCCTGCTCCTCCTGGCTGGGTGAGACCTCCCAACAGGAGTCTCCAGTCACCTCATATAGGAGAGTTCCAGCTGGAATTGGTTTGGTGCCACTCTGGGACAGAGCTCCCAGAGGAAGAAGCAGGCTGCCATCACTGCTGTTCTGCAGCCTCCACTGGTGATACCTCCAGGGGCAGGAGGGACCCGGGCAAATAGGGTCTGAAGTGGACTCCCAGCAAACCACAGCAGCCCTATGGAAGAGGGACCTGACTGCTAAAAGAAAAACAAACAGAAAGTAACAACAACAACATCAATGAAAAAGACCCCACAAAAACCCCATCCAAAGGTCACAACCTCAAAGATCAAAGGTAGATAACTCCATCAAGATGAGAAAGAATCAACTCAAAAAGGCTGAAAACTCAAAAAGTCAGAGTGCTGCTTCTCCAAATGACCACAACACATCTAAAACAAGGGCACAGAACTCGGCTGAGGCTGAGATGGATGAATTGACAGAAGTGGGCTTCAGAAGATGGGTAATAACAAACTTTGCTGAGATAAAGGAGTATGTTCTAACTCATTGCAAAGAAGCTAAGAACCATGATAAAACACTATAGGAGCTGTTAACCAGAATAACCAGTTGAGAGAGAAACATAAATGACCTGATCAAGCTGAAAAACATAACCCAAGAACTTCACAATGCAAACACAAATATTAATAGCCAAATAGACCAAGTGGAAGAAACATAGCAGAGCTTGAAGACTATCTTGCTGAAATAGGGCGGGCAGACAAGATTAGAGAAAAAAGAAAGGCGTAAACAAAACCTCCAAGAACTATGGGATTATGTTAAAAGACTGAAGCTACGACTGATTGAAGTACCTGAAAGAGATGGGGAGAACAGAACAAACTTGGAAAACACACTTCAGGATTATATCCAGGAGAATATCCCCAACCTAGCAAGACAGGCCAATATTCAACTTTATGAAATCCAGAGAACCCCAGTAAGATACTCCATGAGAAGATCAACCCCAACACACATAATCATCAGATTCTCCAAGGTTGAAATGAAGGAAAAAATGTTAAGGGCAGTCACAGGGAAAGGCCAGGTCACCTATAAAGGGAAGCCCATCAAACTAACAGAAGACCTTTCACTGAAAACCCTGTAAGCCAGAAGAGACTGGGAGACAATATTCAACATTCTTTTTTTAATTATTATTATTATACTTTAAGTTCTAGGGTACATGTGCATAATGTGCAGGTTTGTTACATACGTATACTTGTGCCATGTTGGTGTGCTGCACCCATCGACTCGTCAGCACCCATCAACTCGTCATTTATATCAGGTATAACTCCCAATGCAATCCCTCCCCATAATAGGCCCCGGTGTGTGATGTTCCCCTTCCTGAGTCCAAGTGATCTCATTGTTCAGTTCCCACCTATAAGTGAGAACATGCGGTGTTTGGTTTTCTGTTCTTGCGATAGTTTACTGAGAATGATGGTTTCCAGCTGCATCCATGTCCCTACAAAGGACAAGAACTCATCCTTTTTTTATGGCTGCATAGTATTCCATGGTGTAAATGTGCCACATTTTCTTAATCCAGTCTGTCACTGATGGACATTTGGGTTGATTCCAAGTCTTTGCTATTGTGAATAGTGCCGCAATAAACATACGTGTGCATGTGTCTTTATAGCAGCATGATTTATAATCCTCTGGGTATATACCCAGTAATGGGATGGCTGGGTCATATGGTACTTCTAGTTCTAGATCCCTGAGGAATCGCCATACTGTTTTCCATAATGGTTGAACTAGTTTACAATCCCACCAACAGTGTAAAAGTGTTCCTATTTCTCCACATCCTCTCCAGCACCTGTTGTTTCCTGACTTTTGAATGATTGCCATTCTAACTGGTGTGAGATGGTATCTCACTGTGGTTTTGATTTGCATTTCTCTGATGGCCAGTGATGATGAGCATTTTTTCATGTGTCTGTTGGCTTCATGTCTTCTTTTGAGAAATGTCTGTTCATATCCCTTGCCCACTTTTTGATGGGGTTGTTTTTTTCTTGTAAATTTGTTTGAGTTCTTTGCAGGTTCTGGATATTAGCCCTTTGTCAGATGAGTAGATTGCAAAAATGTTCTCCCAATCTGTAGGTTGCCTGTTCACTCTGATGGTAGTTTCTTTTGCTGTGCAGAAGCTCTTTAGTTTAATTAGATCCCATTTGTCAATTTTGGCTTTTGTTGCCGTTGCTTTTGGTGTTTCAGACATGAAGTCCTTGCCCATGCCTATGTCCTGAATGGTATTACTTAGGTTTTCTTCTAGGGTTTTTATGGTTTTAGGTCTAACATTTAAGTCTCTGATCCATCTTGAATTAATTTTCGTATAAGGAGTAAGGAAAGGATCCAGTTTCAGTGTTCTACTTATGGCTAGCCAATTTTCCCAGCACCATTTATTAAATAGGGAATCTTTTCCCAATTTCTTGTTTTTCTCAGGTTTGTCAAAGATCAGATGGCTGTGGATGTGTGGTATTATTTCTGAGGACTCTGTTCTGTTCCATTCGTCTATATCTCTGTTTTGGTACCAGTACCATGCTGTTTTCGTTACTGTAGCCTTGTAGTATAGTTTGAAGTCAAGTAGCGTGATGCCTCCAGCTTTGCTCTTTTGACTTAGGATTGTCTTGGCAATGCGGGCTCTTTTTTGGTTCCATATGAACTTTAAAGCAGTTTTTTCCAATTCTGTGAAGAAACTCATTGGTAGCTTGATGGGGATGGCACTGAATCTATAAATTACCTTGTGCAGTATGGCTATTTTTGTGATGTTGATCCTTCCTATCCGTGAGCATAGTATGTTCTTCCATTTGTTTGTGTCCTCTTTATTTCACTGAGCAGTGGTTTGTAGTTCTCCTTGAAGAGGTCCTTCACATCCCTTGTAAGTTGGATTCCTAGGTATTTTATTCTCTTTGAAGCAATTGTGAATGGAAGTTCATTCCTGATTTGGCTGTCTGTTTGACTGTCACTGGTGTATAAGAATGCTTGTGATTTTTGCACATTAATTTTGTATCCTGAGACTTTGCTGAAGTTGCTTATCAGCTTAAGGAGATTTTGGGCTGAGATGATGGAGTTTTCTAAATATACAATCATGTTATCTGCAAACACGGACAATTTGACTTCTTCTTTTAAAGAAAGGAATTTCCAGCATAGAATTTCACATCTGAGTAAACTAAGCTTCATAAGTGAAGGAAAAATAAAATCTTTTTCAGACAAGCAAATGCTGAGAGAAGGCCTGCCTTGAAAAAGCTCCTGAAGCTTGCACTAAATACGGAAAGGAGAAAACCATTACCAGCCACTACAAAAACACACCGAAGTACACAGACGAATGACACTATGAAGCAATTACATAAACAAGTCTGCAAAATAACCCGCTAGTATCATGATGACAGAATCAAATTAACACTTAACAATATTAACCTGAAATATAAATGGACTAAATGACCCAATTAAAAGACACAGAATGGGAAGCTGGATAAAGAGTCAAGATCCATCAGTGTGCTGTATTCAAGAGCCCCATCTCACATGCAAAGACACAAATAGACTCAAAATAAAAGGACAGAGGAAAAATTACCAAGCAAATGGAAAACAGAAAAAAGAGTTGCAATCTAAGTTTCTGACAAAACAGACTTTAAACCAACAAAGATCAAAAAAGACAAAGAAGGGTAGTACATGATGGTAAAGAGTTCAATTCAATAAGAAGAGCTAACTATCCTAAATATATATGTACCAAATAAAGGAGCACCCAGATTCATAAAACAAGTTCTTAGAGACTTACAAAGAGACTTAGACTCCCACACAGTAACAGTGGGAGACTTTAACACCCCACTGTCAATATTAGATTGTTGGGACAGAAAATTAACAAAGATATTCAGGACTTGAATTCAGCTTTGGATCAAGTGGACCTGATAGACAGCTACAGAACTCTCCACACAAAATGACAGAATATACATTCTTCTCAGCACCTTACTCTAAAATTGGCACTTACTCTAAAATTGATCACATAATTGTAAGTAAATCATTCCTCAGCAAATGTAAAAGAATTGAAATCATAATAAACAGTCTCTCAGACCACAGCACAATCAAATTAGAACTCAAGAATAAGAAACTCACTCAAAACCACACCACTACATGGAAATTGAACAACCTGCTCCTGAATGACTCCTGGGTAAATAATGAAATTAAGGCAGAAATCAAGAAGTTCTTTGAAACCAATAGGAAAAAAGAGACAATGTACCAGAATCTCTGGGATGCAGCTAATGCACTGTTAGGAGGGAAATTTATAGCACTAAATGCCCACATCAAAAAGCTAGAAAGATCTCAAATAGACACCCAAGCATCACAATCAAAAGAACTAGAGAACCAAGAGCAAACAAACTCCAAAGTTAACAGAAGACAAGAAAAAACCAAGCTCAGAGTGGAACTGAAGGAGAAAGAGACATGAAAAACCCTTCAAAAAATCAGTGAATCCAGGAGCTGGTGTTTTGAAAAAAATAATAAAATAAATAGATCTCTAGCTAGACTAATAAAGAAGAAAAGAGAGAAGAATAAAATAGATACAATAAAAAATGATAAAGGGAATATCACCACTGACCCCACAGAAATACAAACAACCATCAGGGAATACTATAAACACTCCTATGCAAATAAACTAGAAAATCTATAAGAAATGGATAAATTCCCAGGAATTTATCCACATACACCCTCCCAAGACCAAACCAGGAAGAAGTTGAATCCCTGAATAGATCAATAACAAATTCAAATCAAAACCACATTGAGATACCATCTCATACCAGTCAAAATGATGATTATTAAAATGTAAAGAAAAAACAGATGCTGGCAAGGTTGCAGAGAAATAGGAATGCTTTTACACTGATAGTGGGAATATAAATTAGTTCAACCATTGTGGAAGATGATGTGGTGATTCCTCAAAGATCTAGAACTAGAAATACCATTTGACCCAGCAACCCCATTACTGGGTATGTACCCAAAGGAATACAAATAATTCTATTACAAAGATACATGCATACATATGTTCACTGCAGTGCTATTCACAATAGTGAAGACACGGAATCAACCCAGATGCCCATCAATGACACACTGGATAAGGAAAATGTGGTACATATACACCATGGAATACTATGCAGCCATAAAAAGGAACAAGATCATGTCGTTTGAAGGACATGGATGGAGCTGGAGACCATTATTGTCATAAAACCAACACAAGAACAGAAAACCACCACACATTCTCACTTTTAAGTGGTAGCTGAACAATGAGAACACGTGGACACAGGGAGAACACCACTACAAACTAGGGCCTGTCTATGGGTGAGGTGTGGGGGAGGGAGAACATTAGGAAAAATAGCGAATGCATGCTGGGCTTAACACCTAGGTGAGAAGTTGATAGGTGCAGCAAACTACCATGGCACAGGTTTACCTATGTAACAAACCTGCACATCCTGCACATGTACCATGGAAATTAAAATACAAATAATTTTTTTTAAGACAGAATCTTGCTCTGTCGCCCAGGCTGGAGTGCAGTGGTACAATCTCAGCTCACTGCAACCTCCACCTCCTGGGTTCAAGCAATTATCCTGCCTCAGCCTCCCAAGTAGCTGGGATTACAGGCGCCCACCACCACACCAGGCTAATTTTTGTATTTTTAGTAGAGGCAGGGTTTCACCATGTTGGCCAGGCTGGTCTCGAACTTCTGACCTCAAATGACCCACCTACCTTGGCCTCCCAAAGTAAACTACAAAAGAAAAAAAAAAAATTCACATATTCTCTATGCAACTATTAAAAAATGAAGAAACCTCTTTGTGTCCTGATATAAACAAATATCCAAAATAAATTGTTAAATAAAAAATATCAAGGACACAGACATATATATACATTATACTTGTATTTTTATAAAATTAATATGAAGAAAAAATGCATATTCATATTTACTTCAATGTTCATAAAAATATCCAAATGCAGCCAGGTGCAGTGGCTCACACCTGAAATCCCAGCAATTTGGGAAGCTGAGGCTGGTAGATTGTTTGAGCCCCCAGGAGTTCAAGACCAGCCTGGGCAACATGGCAAAACCCCATCTCTCCAAAAAATAAAAAAATGTGCTGGGCATGGTGCTGCGCACTTATAGTTACAATTACTCAGGAGGCTGAGGCAGCAGGATCACTTGAGGGCAGGAGGTTGACACTGCAGTGAGCTATGATCGCACCACTGCACTCCAGCCTGGAAGACAGAGAAAGACCATTCCTTCCACCCACCCCCCCAAAAAAATCTCCAAATGCTCCTTACATAACAAATGTTTATGAACTAACTACAATGGTTATGGGAGAATTAACTACAATGGTTAGTTGTTGGGGGAAAGAGGTAGGAATTGGATAGTTAGAGACCAGATCAGAGGGAGATTTTAACTGTAGATATTTACATACTTCCTAATTTATGATCTGTGTAAATGTATTATCAAATCAGATATTTGAAACTTATTAAAACATTTTAAAGGCAGATATTTTTGACATCCTTTTTAGAAAATGTACTGTTTTCTTCAATTATGAACTAATAACTAATGTTAAAAACTAGACTTAAATGAACATAGGATTCTCACCTTCATGTGAACTCTTAAAATACCAAGTGTGTACCACTCGTCTGATCTTATAGCACATTAGTTACATTTTTATGGAAGTGGCCCATCACTTTCAACAATTATGGTAAACATTTTCTATATTCTCAACGTGTATAAAACTTCCTAATTATTCTCACCTCTAAAATCTTGTAAACGCCTATTGCTTTTCAATGCTAAAATGGCACTCTTTAGGGAAGTGTCTCCCTTTTCTGTAAAGAGAAAAAACAGAACAGAGATATATTAATAGATTCAAGAAACAAAAGACTTACTTAGTGAGCTAACTTGGTTCACTTATTATCCCCTTAAATAATCTTAATGATTTTCTACCCTGTATACTTTTCCCCAAAATGCTGTCTACTCTTTACCTATCCAAATCCTATTCATAACAAAACTAGCTCATAAGTAAAAGCCTTCCCTTGATCCTACATTTCTTTCTAACTATTGCTCTATCCCTTTCCTTTCCTTCACAACCTAATCTCTGGAGGAAAAAAATGTTCCATTGATCATATCCTCACTCACAATCTCAAACTAGTGCTATTCTGGCTTCCACCTCCACAAAGATCATTCTCAGAAGTTCACCAGTTAACTATTTATTGCCTAATAATGAGCACTTTTAACTTTTGGTCTTTAACTCTTCAAACTCTTTCTTCCCTTTGTTTTGTTGCTACAGCTTTCTCTTGGTTTCCTCCCTACCATTCTGGTTATTTCTCCTTCTCCTTCTCCTTCTCCTTCTTCTCCTTCTTCTCCTTCTCCTTCTCCTTCTTCTCCTTCTCCTTCTCCTCCTCCTTCTCCTCCTTTTTTTTTCAGATGGAGTCTTGCTCTGTTGCCCAGGCTGGAGTGCACTGACGTGTTCTCAGCTCACTGCAACCTCCACCTCCAGAGTTCAAGCTGTTCTCCCACCTCAGACTCCTGAGTAGCTGGGATTACAGGTGCACGCCACCATGCCCTGCTAATTTTTGTATTTTTGGTAGAGACAGGGTTTCACCATGTTGGCCATGCTGGTCTCAAACTCATGACCTCAAATGATCCACTCACCTCAGCCTCCCAAAGTGCTGGAATTACAGATGTGAGCTACCACACCCGGCCTCTTTCTTCTTACTGTCTTTTATAAACTACTGTTTCTCCATCATTGCTTAAATATCAGCATGCCTCATTTCTCTCTCCTTGGCCCTCTTCTCGGATAATGGTGATGTACAGATGGGGTTTTGGTGTGGATGTCCTTTCTGTTTGTTAGTTTTCCTTCTAACAGTCAGGACCCTCAGCTGCAGGTCTGTTGGAGTTTGCTCAAGGTCCACTCCAGACCCTGTTTGTCTGGGTATCAGCAGTGGAGGCTGCAGAAGAGTGAATATTGCTGAACAGCAAATGTTGCTTCCTGATCGTTCCTCTGAAAGCTTCATCTCAGAGGGGTACCTGGCCGTGTAAGTTGTGAGGTGTCAGTCTGCCCCTAATGAGGGGTATCTCCCAGTTAGGCTACTTGGGGTTCAGGGACCCACTTGAGCAGGCAGTCTGTCCATTCTCAGATCTCAAACTCTGTGCTGGGAGAACCGCTATTCTCTTCAAAGCTCAGTTGGAAATGCAGAAATCACCCGTCTTCTGTGTCACTCACGCTGTGAGCTGGAGGCTGGAGCTGTTCCCATTCAGCCACCTTGGAACTGCCCCCTTGGACCTCTTCTCAACATACTCTATAAACTTTTCCTAAACTCTCCTATAACTATGAACTGTATGTTGATGATTCCCAAGATTACATAATCTTCTAAATCCTTTGTTGTCATTTCAACAATGTTCCCAGCATCTTCACCAGGTGTATATTCCATCTCAGGAAACCACTTTCTCTGCACATCAGTAAGAAGCAACTCCTTATCCTTTAAAATTTTATCATGAGATTGCAGCAATTCAGTCACATCTTCGGGATCCACTTCTAGTTCTAGTTTTCTTGCTGTTTCTACCACATATGCAGGTACTTACTCCAATGAATTCTTAAAGTTATCATGAAGGTTAGAGTCAACATCTTCCAAATTCCTGTTAATGTTGACATTTTGACTTCCTCCCATGAATCACAAATATTCTTAATGGCTCTGGAATGAAGGGTCCCTTCTAGAAAGTTTTTATTTTACTTTGCCCAGATCCATCAGAGGAATCATTATCTATGGCAGCTATAGCCTTACCAAATGTATTTCTTAAATAACAAGACTTGAAAGTCAAAATTACTCCTTGTTTCATGGGCTGCAGAATGGATATTGTGTTGGCAGGCATGAAAACAACATTCATCTCCTTGTACATCTCCATCAAGAGCTCTTGGGTGACTAGATGCACTGTTAATGAGCAGCAATACTTTGAAAGGAATCCTTTTCCTGGCAGTAAGTCCCAACAGTGGACTTAAAATTTTCAGTAAAATCATGCTGCAAACAATGTGCTGTCATCCAGGCTTTGTAATTCCATTTATAGAGCAGAAGCACAGTTGATTTCGCCTGTACTAGTAGTATCTGAAGAGCCCTAGGATTTTCAGAATGGTTAATGAAGTTAATGAATAACTTGAACTTAAGTCACTAGATATTAGCCCCTAACAAGACAGTCAGCCTGCCTTTGAAGCTTTGACCCCTTCTCATCTCTATTTATGAAAGTCCTAGATGGCACCTTCTTTCAATAGAAGACTGTTTCATCTCCATTGAAAATTCATTGTTTAGTGGAGCCACCTTCATCAATTATCTCAGCTAGGTCTTGTAGATAACTTGCTGCAGCTTCTTTAGCAGCACTTGCTGCTTCAGCTTGCAATTTTATGTTATAGAGATGGCTTTTTTTCCCTAAACCTCATGAACAAACCTCTGCTAGTTTCGAACTTTTAGTCTGCAGCTTCCTCACCTCTCTCAACTTTACCAAGGTTTTGGTTTCAAGAAATGTTGTGGCTGGTTTGATCTTCTATCCAAACCACTAAAACTTTTTCAATATCAGCAATAAGACTGTTTCTCTTTCTTGTCATTTTTAGCTCTTTTAATGTACTTCATAAACTTTTTCTTTGCCTTCAAAAGTTGGCTAACTATTCAGCACAGGAGGCGTAATTTTCAGCCTAGCTCAGCTTTCAACATGTCTTCCTCACTAAGCTTAATCATTTCTTACTTAATCATTGCTCGCTTTTATATGTCAGTAATGTGCAACTCTTCCTTTCATGTGAACACTTAGAGGCCATTGAAGAGTTATTAATTGACTTGATTTCAATATTGTTGTGTCTCAAGGAATAGGGGGGCCAAAGGAGAGGGATAGAGAATAGGGAAATGGCTGGTCAGTGTAACAGTCAGAATACACACTTTATCAACTAAGTTTACCATCTTATATGGGTGCAGCTCATGGTACCCCCCAAAATTACAACAGTAATATCAAATATCATTGATCACAAGTCATCATAATAGATATATAAATAATTAAAAATTGTGAGAATTACCAAAACGTGATACAGAAACATGAAGTGATCACATACTGTTGGAAAAATGGTGCCAATAGACTTGGCTGATAAAGGGTTGCTATAAACCTTCAATTTGTAAAAACACAATATCTGCAAAGTACAATAATGCAAAGTGCAATAAAATGAGGTATGCCTGTATTTCAAAATTCAACTCCAACATAATTTTCTCCAGGAAGCCTCTTCTTATTACCTTATCCAACTCTGGGTGGGTTAGGTTCATGCATATTGTATATGTTTCCGTAACACTCTATGTTTACCTCTATCATAGTGTTTAACTATTGGTATCCTCATTGTTTCTATCTCAGTAGTCTGTAAACTCTTGAGAAATTCTCTACATATTTAATTCCTCGCAAGCAATAAGTGCTAAATAAACTTTGAATGAATGAAACAGCTCTTCTCTAAACTCTTATTCAACTCAGTATCATCACTGTTTCTCTGGCAAGTATTCAAGAACTTCCACATAACACTGCACAATTCGCTAAACTTTCATCTCCTATATGTTACACACCTTTTTGTTGTATTTTTATTCATATTTTATGTATATACTTTGTCTCACTAACTAGACTGAAAGTTTTCTAAGTGTGAATATTTTATATTTCTTTGAATCCATTATGTATTACATAATTCCTGACAAATAACAGGCACTCATGATCAGGTCTGTCACATATAACTATGTAGGCTGGGTTATACAATACTAAGGGGTACTGTTCACGTAGAGATAATGTGCTTCTGAAGTCATGCCCTGCAGTGACCCCAGTCAATAAACTGGTTAAGCAATGCCAAATCCATTTAATAATGTAAAAAAGAAAATACATTTCAGGAGTGATTTTAAATTAATTTTTAAAAGTGCACACAATAACTGCCAAAATTTGAAAATTATACATTCTTTTCTCTGAAATCACTGAAGATTTACACTCAACTTCATGTCATAACTATCTCAGGTACAGGGAGGGAATGTCCTTTCCTGTTAGTCTTTTCCTGTCTAATAGCAGTTTCACACTAGCACAACCTCAGAGAATTACAATAGTCCCCACTTATCTGCAGTTTTACTTTCCTCTGTTTCAGTTACCCACAGTCAAGCACAGTCTGAAATATTAAATGGAAAATTTAAGAAATAAACAATTTATAATTTTTAAATTGCACACTTTTCTGAGTAGTATGATAAAATCCCACACCATTCCACCATACCAATCTCTCCAGCCCTGGACCTGAATAATCCCTTTGTCTAATGTATCCACATTGTACACACTACCTGCCCGTTAGTCGCTTAGTAGTCATCCTGGTTATCAGATCAACTGTTGCAGTACTGAAGTGCTTGCATTCAAGTAACCCTTATTTTACTTAATAATGGCTCCAAAGTGCAAGAGTAGTGACGCTAGTATATTGTTATATTGTTCTCCTTTATTGTTAATCTCTTACTGTGCTTAATCTATAAATTAAACTTTATCATGGGTATGTGCATATAGGAAAAAATATGGTATATAGAGGGTTTGGTGCTATCCATGGTCTCAGGCATCCAGTGGAGGTCTTAAGGCATATCCCATGTAGATAAGGGAGGACTACTGTACCTACTGCACTGTACCTTTTCTGATTTCTATAGTAAGTGCTGAAAACAAACATACCCTGATGGAATCAACACAGGATACTTGATGGGACTATAAAGTAAGGGCTTTAAAAAAATCTTATTAACCTTATTCAAATATTTTCTATCAAGATAAATTACAGAATGTCTTTTCCATTAAAAGAACAAAGAAAAAAATTTTAAGGAGTAATGAATGGAAAATAAGAAACGGGAATTTAAAAACTACTGTCACTTTATTAGAAAAATAAACTTATAGTGATTATATATACCATCAGCGTCAAGTGTTTTCACTAACATCTGATGTTCTTCAGGCTTTAAAGAAATATTGAGGTCCTCAAAAGCATTTTTCAAGTCACTAACTTGAACTCTGTCACAGTTCATCAAGCTGACAGTACTGAGGGCAGTGTCTATATCTGAAAGCAAACGGAGATTCTGTAAGTTACTTAACACTCTTTGGAAATAATATTTTTACTTTCTAAACTTCTGAACAACAACGTACCTAAAATTTTAGACTACTGTCCAAACATATCTCTCAAATAATATTATCTCTATGATTCCCAAATTAATAAATACTAGCCCCAAATTCCTTTATTCCAAGCATTTCGCTGAAATGATCAGTTACTTTTGTCTTAATATCAAAAACTTTAGTTGATTGAGTTTTTAAAAATTTAACTAAATAAAATGATCATTTTTTAAAAAATAAAAATACCACCATTATTGTATCGCTGAGGGATATGTTTAATGTTATATCAGTGAGAGGGACTTTAGGGCTCATCTCTGCCTGTATGGAACTGCCCAAATTTCAGGGGGTAAAAATCTTAGTCCTAAATTTTCTTCTACTTACATACTTTGATGTCCCATTCATTTTTTTGCTTCTTCCTCACAACTTTTACTCTCCTATTAAAAGTCCTCCCAAAAGTGTGGGTGTATTAAGGTTTTAGGAATATATTGTGCCTAAATCTTTACCCTAAATGTTAAAACCTAGTATTTACTTTTTAACCTAAAAGATAGCTATTTACAAGAGTCAAATGCCATAAAATCTATAGAAAAAGTGTGATCTAAGGAGTTTCAAGGTTACAGGAAATAGATGTAAGAGTTCTTCTGTGAAGACAATAGAAATGTTAGAAGTTTTTTCAAGCTCAAGCACTCTGGATTCCTCCTTGGTCTTATCTAAGACACTATGAGCTTTCTCCTCTTTTTTAGGAATATAGCCATGCTTCGAGTACTTTAAAAAGGAGTTATACACAAACTTACTCCCAATTAACTCCTGGATGAACAGTGAAATTAAGGCAGAAATCAAAGACTTCTTGGAAAATAACAAAAACGGGGACACAACTTATCAAAATCTCTGGGATGCAGCCAAAGCAGTGTTAAAAGCAAAGTTTATAGCTCTAAATACCTTCATCAAGAAGTTAGAAAGATCTCAAATTAATCACCCAACTTTGCACCTAAAGGAACTAGAAAAATAATCCTAAAGCTAGCAGAAAAAAACAAAATAACTCAAATTAGAGAACTTAATGAAATAGAGATGTAAAAATCCATACAAAATATCAATGAAACCAAGAGTTGGTTCTTCAAAAAAAATAAGATTGATAGTTTGCTAGCTAGATTAACAAAGAAAAAGAGAAGATCCAAATGAGCACAATCAGAAGCGATAAAGGTGATATTACAACTGATCCCACAAAAATACAAAAGATCCTCAGAGACTACTGTGAACAATTCTATGCCCACAAAAGGAAAACTTAGAAGAAATGGATAGATTCCTGGAAGCACACAATCGCCCAAGATTGAATTAGAAAGAGATTAGAAACCTGAATAGATTAATATCAACTTTTGAAATTGAATCAGTAATAAAGAACCTACCAACAACAACTACAAAAAAGCTCTGGACCAGATGGATTCATAGACAAATTCTACCAGACATATAAAGAAGAACTGATACCAATCCTACTAAAACTATTCCAAAAAATGGAGGAGGAGGACTCTACTGAAACTATTCCAAAAAAAATGGAGGAGGATTCCTCCCTAACTCATTCTATGAAGCCAGCATCAGACTGATCCCCATATCTGGCAGAAACACAGTTAAAAACGAAAATTTCAGGACAATATTCCTGATGAACACAGAAACAAAATTCCTTAATAAAATCTCAGTAAACCAAATCTAGCAGTATATCAAAAAGTTAATACACCATGATCAAGTAGGTTTTATTCTTGGGATACAAGGTGGTTCACAATCAAAAATTGTGATTCACCACATAAACAGAACTAAAAGCTAAAAGCCATATGATCAACTCAATATATATAGAAAAAGCTTTTGATAAAATCCTACATCCCTTTATGATAAAAAGAAAGGAAAACCCTCAGCAGACTAGGCATCCAAGGAATATATCTTAAAATAATAAGAACTGTCTATGACAACCCTCAGCCAAGATCATATTGAAGGTACAAAAGCTCAGACCATTCTCCTTGTGAACTGGAACAAGGCAGAGATGTCCACTCTCATTGCTCCTATTCAACAAAGTACTGGAAGTCCTAGACAGAGCAATTAGGCAAGAGAAAGAAGTAAAAGTCATCCAAATAAGAAATGAAGAAGTCAAACTATCTCTCTGCTGACAATATGCTTCTATCTCTAGAATATCTGCACTCCCAAAAGGATCCTAGAACTGATAAATGACTTTACTAAAGTTTCGGAATACAAAATCAATGTACAAACATCAGTAGCATTTCTATGAACCAACAACATCCATACTGAGATTAAAATCAAGAACACAATTCCACTTACAACTGCCAGAAAGAAAGTAAAATACTAGGAAATACAGCTAACCAAGGAGGTGAAAGATCTCCACAAGAGAACTATGAAACACTGCTAAGAGAGTACACAAACATATGGAAAAACATTCCATGCTTATGGATTGGAAGAATCAATAGTGTAAAAATGGCCATACTGCTCAAAGAAATTTACAGATTCAGCATTATTCCTATCAAACTACCAATATTGTTCTTCATAGAACTAGAAATAAACTATGCTAAAATTCATATTGAACCAAGAAAGAGCCCAAATAGCCAAAGCAATACTAAGCAAGAAGGACAAAGCTGGAGGCATCACATTGACTGACTTCAAACTATACTACAAAGCCACAGTAACCAAGACATCTTGGTACCAGTAATAGACAGATACATAGACCATTGGAACAGAACAGAAAACTCAGAAATAAAGTTGCATGCCTATAACCGTCTGGTATTCAACAAGGCCAACAAAAACAAGCAATGGGAAAGGGACTCCCTGTTCAATAAATGGTGCTGGGATAATAGCAAGCCATATGCAGAAGATTGAATCTGGACTCCTACCTTTAACAATATACAAAAATTAAAACAGATCAAAGATTTAAATGTAAGACCTCACACTATAAAAACCCTGGAAGATAACCTAGGTAACACTATTCTGGACATAGGCCTTGGCAAAGAATTTTTGGCTGAGACTTCAAAAGCAATTGCAACAAAAACAAAAATAGACAAGTGGGACCTAATGAAACTAAAGACCTGCTGAACAGCAAAGGAAACTATTGAGAGCAAACAGATAACCCACAGAATGGAAGAAAATCGTCACAAATTATGCATCCAACAAAGGCCTAATATCCCAAATCTATAAGGAACTTAAACCAACAACAACAAAAAAGGCTCATTAAAAAATAGGCAAAGAATATGAACAGACACTTCTCAAAAGGAGACATACAAGTGGTCAACAAACATATGAAAAACTGCTCAGCATCACTTATCATCAGATAAATGCAAATCAAAACCACAATGAGATACCATCTCACACCAGTCAGAATGGCTATTACAAAAAGTCAAAAAAACAACAGATGCTAGCGAGGCTGCAGAGAAAAGGAAATGTTTATACAATGTTGGTGGGAATGTAAATTAGTCCAGCAACTGTGGAACACAGTCTGAAGATTTCTCAAAGAACTTAAAACAGAGCTACTGGCCGGGCACAGTGGCTCAAGCCTGTTACAATGCCACCACTCCGGGAGGCCAAGGCAGGTGGATCACCTGAGGTCAGGAGTTTGAAACCAGCCTGGCCAACATGGTGAAACCCTGCCTCTACTCAAAACACAAAAATTAGCCGGGCGTGGTGGTGCATGCCTGTAATCCCAGCCACTCAGGAGGCTGAGGCAGGAGAATCGCTTGAACCTGGGAGGCAGAGGTTGCAGTGAGCTGAGATCATGGCATTACACTCCAGCCTGGGTGACAAGAGGGGGACTCCATCTCAAAAACAAACAAATAAACAAAATTCCCCCAAAAACAGAGCTACCATTCGACCCAGCAATCCCATTACTGGGTATATACCCAAAGAAAAAAAAGTCTACCAAAAGACACATGCACTCCTATAGTCATCACTGACCTATTCACAATAGCAAAGACATGGAATCAACCTAGGTGCCCATCCATGCTGAAGTGATTAAGAAAACATGGTACATATATACCATAGGACACTATGCAGCCATAAAAAAGAATGAAATCATATCCTTTACAGCAACATGGATGGAACTGGAGGCCATAATCCTAAGCAAATTGACACAGGAATAGAAAACCAAATACCACACATTCTCACATATAAGTGAGACCTAAACATTAAGCACACATGGATATAAATATGGGAACAACAGACATTGCAGACTACTAGGCGGTGGGGGTAGATGGGTTAAAAACTACCTATCTGGTACTCTGTTCACTACATGGGTGACAGGATCCATACCTCAAACCTCAGCATCACACAATATTCCCATGTAACAAACCTGCAAATGTATTGCCTATATCTAAAATAAATGCTGAAATTTAAAATCAAATAAATATTAGTTATGCAAATCATCATACACTCAAGATTTCTGTTCATAACATAAATCTCTAGTTTATAAAACTTTTTTAAATTTAAAAGAGGCAGAGTATAAGTGCACAAAAAGTTACAGAATTAACTTATTAGGTAAGTTAATTTTTTCCAACAAGCCAGATAGTTCTCTCCATCTCCACATGTAATTCTCCAGTAAACCTAAGCCCTTTTAGAATGTTTTAGACTGATGCCACAAATTCAGTTTAAGACTACTCTAGTCCTCCCAGTCATCCCAAAGAGTCCTGACACACCAGGTCACTTTCTCATTCCAAATTGAAATAAAGAGAGAAAAGGAAAGGAAAAGTCCTTCAACAACAGACTTCTTTGGGTAGTAAATCTACTCCTACTTTTATAAACTGGTATCTTGGCCTCTGTATATTTTTCCCTCACAGCTAATCACCCTCTCTCTGCCTTCCTGGTTCTATTACTTAGTCGTATCTTCTATATTGTTATATACATTGATATCTTTATCTACTATATATACCATTATCTTCTATATAATTTTATTTCTTATATTGCTGTATACTCTTTATTCACACATCTCTGCTCTTTACTCATCGGAAATGCCTTTAAATATATATCATATCTAATCTTTATTATTTGGCCAATCTTCTCTTGGGTCACTCATAACACTCCACATTTGCATCAAAACTATATAAAATGGTCCTTATGTTGATCAAAAAGGATTACAACTGAAATGTATACGGAGATAATTATCCTTTGTTAACAAGAACAACAATTCTTTGTTAGCAACATTTGTTCATCTTTTAGAATAGCAAAGGTTAAAAATGGTTTAAAATGAATTAAACTGCTTTCATTTATAGTTATACTGTTTTCTTGAAACTATCAGTGAATTTAAGGATTATAACTACCTGATAAAACTAGAATATTTTCCCTAAAAACATATGCACAGTTAAATTATGATATTAATTCAAAAGGCAGTGTACAATACAGAAAGAAAAAGGTAAAATTAAAAAGCACAATATTTACCAACCATGACTGCTTCTAAATTGTTGCAGTGAAGTATTACTAAAAATTTCTGAAGACTACATACATACTTTCTAAAGTGGAACACTGGATTACTTGTGAAACTCAAACAACTATATTCCAAAATGTCTATTACAAATAATACATTTGTGCTTTATAAAAACTAACATAGTTAAGTTTGACTATTTTATTAACGTCAGAATATGACAATGAACTGAAAAATACTTTCCAGCTCAAACAAAAATTAATTTGATGACTCATATCTCTAGGATAAGGTTGTTTTAATGTAATGAATTTTTATGACCTATACAACCCTTTTAAATAATTTGTGCCAATCTCTACAACCAAAGTCTTTAAAAGAAAACATACATGGTAGAATTTTTTAACTTTTCATTTATGAATAATAAATTATACCCTGCTACTTCTAAGTAATGAATAAATTTAACAGGATCAATGCAAAGAACTAAACTGTCAAGTTTTTTAAAAATCCTAATTCATGAGCCTACTGATTTTTCCAATAAACCCCAGCAGGCTTGCAGAAATTTACAAATTGAATATAAAATTTATATGACACTGTAAAAGACCTAAATAGCCAAAACAACTTTTTTTTTTTGAGGCAGAGTCTCGCTTTGTCGCCAGGCTGGGGAGGCACCATCTTGGCTCACTGCAACCTCTGACACCCTGGTTCAAGCAATTCTCCTGCCTCAGCCTCCCAAGTAACTGGAATTACAGGCACGTGCCACCACATCCAGCTAATTTTTGTACTTGTAGTAGAGACAGGGTTTCACCATGTCGGCCAGGATGGTCTCCATCTCCTGACCTCGTGATCTGCCTGCCTCAGCCTCCCAAAGTGCTGGGATTATAGGCGTGAACCACCATGCCCAGCCCCAAAACAACATTTAAAAGGTAGAACAAAGTTGAAGGGCTGACATTATCTGATTGATTTCAATGTTTGTTATGAAACTACAATAATCAAGACAATATAATATTAGTGTAAAGATAGACAAAAAAATGGAACAGAACAGAGAACCCATAAATACACATTTATGAAACATTCTACATATATAAACATTCCACTTATATATAATATTCTATATGTGTAATATTCTGTAAAAGTACAAAGGCAATTCAGAGGAGAAAGTATAGTGTTCTCAACAATAGAACAATTACATAACCACATGTTAAAAAAAACTCCATACTTTACTCCACATACAAAAATTAACTTGAATTATACATCAAAAATGTAAAACCAAAAACTATAAAACTTTTACAATAAAACATATGATTTTTAAAAACTTGCAAACTTGGGTAAGAACAAGATACCTTACACATGACACCAAAAGCATGGTCCATAAAAGAAAAAAATTGGTTAACTAGACTTCGTCAAAATTAAAATTAACCCTCTTTTAAAGGCACTTAAGAAAACGAAGAGACAAAAGATTAGAAGAAAATATTTGCTAAGCATGTATCTGGTAAAAGACTTGTATCCAGAATACATGAAGAAATATGAAAACAGGCAACAGAGACCGACCCCATCTCTAAAAAAATATATGTGTGTATATATATTTATAAGTATATATGTGTATATATATATATATGAAAACAAACAAGCCAACTTAAAAAGATGAGCAAAGTTATAACAGACACCTCACCAAAGAATATACACATGACAAATAAGTATATGAGAAAATGCTCAACATCATTAGTCATTAAGAAAATGCAAAGTAGAACCACAATGAGATACTACTATATACTTCTTAGAATGATTAAAATTTGAAAGACTGAATATACCAAGTATTGGCAAGACTTTGGAGGAACTGAAACTCTCATACACTGCTCTTGGGAATGTAAAATGGTAAAACCAGTTTAGAAAACAGCTCGGCATACTCTTAAAAAGTAAAACATGCATCTACCAAATTCAGTTAGTATATCCCTTGGTAATTGCCCAAAGAAATGAAAGCTTATGTTCATACAACAATTTGTATGTGAATGTTTACAGAAGCTGTGTTTGTCATAGGTAAAACCTTGAAACAACCTAATTTACCTATGTCAGCAGGAAAATAAACTGTGGCATATCTATAAAGTGGAATACTATTCTGCAATAAAAATAATGAACTACTGATGCACACTATATCATGGATACATTTCAAAATAATTATGCTGAGTGAAAGAAGCCAGCAAAAAAGAGCACATTCATTTACAAAAAAATATTAGAAATGCAAAAACAAATTTCTAGTGAAAGAAAGCATATCAGTGGTTGCCTGGGAATGTGGGAAATGTGGAGAATGGCAAGAGAGATTATAAAGGGTATGAGAAAGTTTTAGGGGTAAGGGATATATTTATTATCTTGATTGTGATGATGGTTGCATAGGTGCGTGCATATGTCTACACTTAATCAAAATATGTCCTTTTAAATATAAAATTATACAGTTTTACATCAATTATACCTCACAGAGCTGTTTTAAAAATAACAAGAGGCAATGAAAACTATCTAAATATCTAAACAAAATATTGATTTACCCACCTTCAAATACAGAAGTTGGCTTACTTGTGTTCAAATTCTCCAAAATTTTCTTGAGACTTACATTATTATTTTCTAAAAAGTAAGGTACAAGGATTATGAAATGGCAAAGTGTCAATCCTAATAACCATTAAATAACCATGACAAAGGGTAGGGATGGGAAATTTTTGTAATTTCTAGAAATTAGCAGGATAAAAGTCAATTAATTTAAAATAGTTTTACCCACAATCAATTTTATCAAAACAAGAAATTCTAACTAAAGGAATTTACTTGGCTTAAATAATTAAATTTTGACGCATATATTTTATAGATTTGATGCTAAATGGAGGATGGCTCTTAAAAATATTTCCAGTAGAAAAAACTATGAATTTTAATTAGCTTTCCATGTGCCTATGCTTTCATTATATTTCTAAGACCCAGTTTGCCTCTCAAATGTAAGAATGGCTTTTATCAAAAGGACAAAATTTAACAAGTGTAGGCAAGGAAGTGGTGAAAAGGGAACTCTTGTACAGTTATGGTGGGAATGCAAATTAGTACCACCATTATGAAAAACAGTATGAAAGTTCCTTTAAAAATTAAAAATAGAACTCCCATGTGATGCAGAAATTTCACTTCCAAGTATATATCCAAAGGAAGTGAAATCAGCATGTCAAAGAGATATCTGCACTCCCATGTTCATTGCAGCACTACTCACAACAGCCAAGACAAAGAATCAACTTACGTGCCCATTCATCAACAGATGAATAGATTTTTTAAAATATGACATCTATCTATATGTTATAAATATATATGCACAATAGAATACTATTCAGCCTTTTAAAAATGAAGGAAATCCTGTCATTTGCAATAACATAGATGAACCTGGAGGACATTATGCTGGGTGAAACAAAGCAGGCACAGAAAGACAAATACTGCATGATCTCACTTATATGTGGAATCTAAAAAAGTTGAAGTAATGGGAGCAGAGAAGACAATGGTGATTACCAGGGACTGCAGAATTTGAGGGGAGAAATTGGTTAAGAGAAACAAAATTTCAGTTAGATAAGAGGAGTAAGTTCTGGAGACCTATTTTAGTGCAAGGTGACTATGGTTCATAATGTATTGTATACTTGAAAACAGATAAAAGACTACATTTCAAATGCTATCACAAAAAATTATAAGGATTTAAGGTGATAGATATGTTAATTAGCTTGATTTAATCATCCACAGTGTACACAGATTTCAAAACATTACATTGTACACCATAAATATATATTTTTCACTTGCCAATTAAAAACTAAACACTTTTGGACTGAGCGTGGTGACACACACCTGCAATCCCATCACTTTGGGAGACTAAGGTGGGTGGATAGCTTGAGTTCAGGAGACCAGCCTGGGCAACATGGCGAAACTCTGTCTCTGCAAAAAATACACATTAGCCAGGTGTGGCGGCTACTTGGTGAGCTAAGGCAGGAGGATGGCTTGAGCCCAGGAAGCCAAGGCTGCAGTGAGCCATTATCATGCCACTGCACTCTAGCCTGGGAGACAGCGAGACCCTATCTCAAAATAAAAAAACGAATAAAATAAACACTTTCACCGATCAAAAAATAAAATAAAATATACATATACACAACAGCTATCCCAAGCACATAGTAAAACTAAAACTAGGACTTCATTAAGCTCAAAATAGATTGCTCTTTCAAAAAGGATTCACCATCAACAGATGCTTGTCTCAAGATCTCTTGGAACGTCTTGTTGCTTACTGGAATTCCGGCACTCAAAAGTTTGGAGCTCAGTTCATTTACAGGCATTGTATCATTTCTGATACTATCAAGAGTTTTAATCTCTTTAAATAAATCTGTAAATACAGGAAGAATAGAAAACAGATAAAGAAGTTGGGGCAAAGCCCCTTTTAAGATATAACATCCACAGCCTACCGTAGAAGACATTCTGAGTTAAAGGGCTTTTAAAACATACCTATGGGCTTTGTTTTTAGAAGTCAGTTAAATAATAAAAAATGTTCAACATACCCCTAGCCAGGTAAAAGTTGAGTTTCTGCAATTTTTTTTGTAAAGTCCACTTTTCCAGTAACTGTTATCCCTGAAAGGTGTTTCTGCTACATGCTCTGGTCTTTCACAGACTGCAAAGCTTTTCAAGAACAGGTAGGCAGAAGGTAGCTCTTAGAATGAGGCCAAGAAGCCAAATAGTTGGGGAAAGGAAAACACTAAAAATATAAATTTGCTACAGACTGAAAAACAGTCATATACTATCTTAACATCAGAGAGTGTTTATCTCTTACCAGTCTACCAACTAATTTTAAGAACACTAGATCTTTCTTGTACTTTCCTTAATTAACATGTTTCACTATAGGTGAGGAAAATAAGCATGTGGCTATTAATAAAGGTGTGAGAAAACTGTACTAGAGTAATGGGAAGGATGCCTACTTTTACAATAAAGCATAATACTGAGACAAATTATTTGCTTTAAGGAAGCATATTCTAGGTATGTAATTCTAAATAATTCATTAAACAAAAGCATAAATTGAATATGATAAGGAATAAGAAAGCAGATTACAACATTTCAAATAAAGCAAAGCAAACTTAGGAAAGTGTTGAAAATACAGAGAGAAACAAACTATATTTTAGAAAATACAGGATACCATAAAATGACCTAAGAAACTGGTTTTCAATTTTTATTATTTTACTATACTTACTGTTGAATGGTGTGGATGGTTTAGGTGAATTAGTGAAAACATCAATTACATCCTTTAAGATCACTTTTCTTTCTGAAAAGTTAAGAAATAAAGTAGGATTTAAATAAAGCAGATTTTAAATTCATTAAGGCAGTAATCTGGTATTATTTTAATATTTCATCCAGCTTTCAAACCCCAGTGATCATAATGCATAATAAGAAATACTTCTTTGATGGACATTTGGGTTGGTTCCAAGTCTTTGCTATTGTGAGTAGTGCCACAATAAACATACGTGTGCATATGTCTTTATAGCAGCATGATTTATAATCCTTTGGGTATACACCCAGTAATGGCATGGCTGGGTCAAATGGTATTTCTAGTTCTAGATCCTTGAAGAATCACTACACTGTCTTCCACAGTGGTTGAACTAGTTTACAATCCCACCAACAGTGCAAAAGTGTTCCTATTTCTCCACATCCTCTCCAGTGGGGGAGGCGGAGAGGGATAGCATTAGGAGATATACCTAATGTAAATGACAAGTTAATGGGTGCAGCACACCAACATGGCACATGTATACATATGTAACAAACCTGCACCTTGTGCACATGTACCCGAGAACTTAAAATATAATAAAAAAAGAAAAAAAAAGAAATACTTCTATATTGTGAGCAAACAAAAATACAAGTTTTATAAAGCAATACTCACCCTTATTATAGGTGATACACTCTAATATCTTCTAACAAATTTCAAGTTATGCCATTTCATTTTTTAAATACTATTCAAGACATATTACATTTCTTTCACAACTGACACACAGTTTTAAAAATGATAAACAGGTTATATAGTACAGATATATATACACAGTAATTTTCATTAAAGCATATAAATACTTACAAAGAGTATAAGAGAACGTGTAGGGCTACCCCCTGAAGAGATGTTTTTTACCCAACAAAAACAGCAAAGGAAGAGACCAGAAAAAGAAAGAAAAGATATACTTTTCCTTTGCAAAAAAAAAAAAATCTGGTGACAAAGAGGAAAAATTCAATTTTTTCTTACTATCATTACTTCCTAATTGACACTGAAACAACAAACAAACAAAAAACTTTACACAAAAGTAAGTATATAAAACTAAGACTCCCTTTTCCAAGCAAGTAAAAATCCTTAGGAAACCTAATAGTCAAATGTCAATTTCTTCTGAATTATCCATAACACTACACATAAATATTTCTTGTTCTTTGGAATAACAGGCTTAAGGACATGCTACCCTGAAATATAACATTGTGACATAATTGGATATTTAAGCTGAAGGAATCTAAGAAATATCAGGTGCAAGAAGAACTCTGTGATCTCCCTTGTCTCCCCTGAAGCAGGTCTTGATATCCTCATATGAGAGGTGCTCTTCCTATGAAAAAAAAAAGAGTACCCTTATCTCCGAAGATGGAGGGATGCTGAGAGGAATCAAAACAAACAGGCCATGCTACCCTTAGCTACACTTAGCTCATAGCCACTCTTCTGTCCTCTATTTCATTTTCCATGACTTTCCACTCTTCATCAAACCTAGCGTAAAAACATCCAGATTTAATCACTTTTTCAGGCTTTTATTTTCTTATGAGGGTTCCCATGTCACATAAAACTTACACCAAATAAACTTGTGTGCTTTTATCTTGTTAATCTGTCTTTTGTTACAGAGCCTCAGCCAAAAACCTGAAGGATAGAAGGAAAATATTTCTTCTCTACACTTAACTGGAGACTGCTTCAAAGATTATAAACTGTTAGCCCACATACTGAATACAGTACGAGATTTAGTGATTTTCATTGACCTAGAGAGTGTAATAGTAGTTATTTTTAAATTTGAATTTCATTATCTTTACATGGGATATATACTCTCAAGTTACTCCATAATTCCCATCACTTTGTCTTATGCTAACTTATTTTATTAACTTGTATTTCGTGCCTGACTGCTAGACATTTGAGTTAGATGCCCTTGGCCTGGTTCAAATATTATCCTTCTCTGGAAGCCTACTGTAATTTATTTAAAATGTCACTATTAGAGCTATAACACTGTGCCTCTTGGATTGGCAGGCTAATTTGACCCATCTTTCCCCTCCCTCCTATTCTAAGCAATTACCTTGGCCTTAAGTAGTATTTCCTCACTCCTCTGATTTTTGTTAACTTAATGTTTTTGTAGAAACTGCTTTTACAAAAGCCTAAACCCCTTGAAGAAAATATACCAAATGCCTAAAGAGAGAGATTTTGACAACTGAGGGATTTCTTCTGAAAAGAGAGAGAGAGATCTGATGAGAAAGAATGAGAATTTCTCTGAGAGCATCCATTCCCCAACCCCACCCACCCTCAAGGTGCAGGACTGCCATTGTCTTTATCAACTGAATGTCAGTAGAAACACAAGGAAAGGGAGTTTAAAAGCTCTTCCTCCATGCCCATTGCCCTTTCCCAAATTGTAGTGTGACACTGGATTGGGAGGGAGTCCCAATAAATAACCAGTCAGCCCTCAGGGTCAGATTTAATTCAATTAAAAGAAAATAAAGCAACTGCAATTTCTGGTACTATAGTAGTTAGACATCTGGATTAACCCTTCTACTGAAGATGACAAAAAAATCTAAATAAAATATTATTTATAAAAAATCTTAACTGCTTCAATTTGCTGCCAAGAAAGTAAGAAATTCCCAGGCCAAAAAAAATTGATGAAGAGCTCTAACTCAAAGCACAGTATCTACTTTTTCAGGCAAAGAGTGTTTGCCAAAGACAAAACAAAAACAAATGGAATGAATTTTAGTTTATATTTTCAAAGGCTCAGACAAAACCTAGGTTCCTCCCAAACTGCACATTTATACTCCTTTAACTTATAAAACTGCTTAACCTAGCATTCAATACCCGCAAAAAACATCAATAATAAAGAAAGGTTCCTCCTTTACAGGTAATTTGACTCTTCTCTCTGGCTACCTTTAAGGTTCTCTTTCTTTTGGGGTATGCTGCAGATACATCCTGATATATCTTTGTATGGATTTCCTTTTATTCTATGTGGAATTCACTGGACTTCTTGAATCGGTAGGTTAAGGTCTCTCTCAACTCTGGAAAGTTCTAAGCTACCGCCCCTCAAATATTTTCTCTGCAACCACTCTATCCTCTCTTCTCCCCTGTATTGATGTATATTTTTTATACCTCTTCCTTCTATCTTCTATGCCTCTTAACCTATTTCCTATATAATCTGTCTGGCTGCATTGTGTACAACTTCTTCAAACTAATTTGCAGTTCATATTTCTCTCTATGCCTATGTTTAAACTGCTGATATTCTTGTCCACTAATTAATTTTGATTATTATATTTTAAATTTCTAGAAGTTGTCTCTTTTTCATATCTGTGTGCTCTTTATAGGTTTTAGGTTCCCTTAGACATTTTCAAGTTTCTCTTTTATTTCTTTGGAACAATACAGAAGAATATGACTACAGAAAGAGTGAAACTTTAAAAATGGAAGATATGTACACCAGAAAAAATATTACTTCAGGCTAGATTGGCATCAGAGAAAATATACTTTAAGGCAAAAGCCTTACTGACAATGAAAATTCAACTTACAACAGGGGAAAAAACAGTTTTAATATCTTTAGGAATCTATAACAAGTTTAAGTTGAAATACATCTAGTAACAAAGACTTGAAATATATAGAAAAAAAAATTGACAGAACTACAAGGAGAAATAAACAAACTATCATTACTGAAGATTTTTAACACGTCTTTCAATAAATGACAGGACAAATAGACAAAAAATCAGTAAGGACATAGAAGATTTGAAAATATGATTAATAAATGACCAAATATAAAAGAATGACTCAACAATTGTAGAATTTCTTTACAAATGCATAACATTTTCCAAAAAATGATCATGTTGTGATCCATAAAGCAAGTCTTAATATATTTTAAATAACTAAAAACATACAAAATATGCATTTAAAATAACTGAAATTACAGAAAATATATTCACTTACTGCAATATAATTAATCCAGTAAAAACAAAAAACACTCCCAAACTTGGAAATGAAGAAACACTTCTAGAATTGCCCATGGATCAAGACAGAAATCATTATAAAAGTAAGAAAAATAATTTTAACTAATCAATAATTTTAAAACTACATATCAATACCCGGGGCCATGTAGCTAAAAAAGCAATACATAGGGGAAAATATATATGCTTAAAACCTTACATTAGAGAAGAAAAAAGGACTAAAATTTCATGAGCTAAGCATCCATCTCAAGAAGTTAGAAAAAGAGTAACAAAATAAACCTAAAAAATTATAGAGAAGAAAATGATAAAGACAAAAACATAAATGAAATGAATAATAAACATATAATAAAGAGGATCAAAAAGTGGACTTAGTTATTGAAATGTACAAACCATGAGTATAAATTATCTTAAAAACAGAAAAAAGACAAAAATGAGCAAGACAAGGAATGAGATGGGAATATTACTGCGAATGCCACAAATATTACAAAAATATTTAAGATCTTATTATTAAAAATCATATAGTGACTAGCCTAGCCATCATGGCAAAACTCTGTCTCTACTAAAAATTAAAAAATTAGCCAGGCATGGTGACACATGCCTGTAATCCCAGCTACTCGGAGGCTAAGGCACGAGAATCACTTGAGCCTGGGAGGCAGAGGTTGCAATGGGTCAAGATCATGTCACTGCACTCTAGCCTAGGCAACAGAGCAAAACTCTGTCTCAAAAACAAACAAAAAAAATAGTATAGTATTAGAGTGATAAATTTTTCAGATGAAAAAGTCAAAGTCTTAGGAAAAAACCAACTTACCCAAATTGGCTCATGAATAAACAGAAAACCTAAATAATCTTACAATATGAAAGAAGATGAATCAGTAATCAAAAACCTTCCCAAAAGAAAATGTCAAGGCTCAACTGGCTTGTTCTGTGAATTCCACTAGACTCAAAAGTAATACGCAATCTCAATGCTATAGAAACTATTCAGAGATTGGGGGTGGCTGGCAAGATGGCCACTGAAACTATTCCAAACAATAGAAAAAGAAGGACTCCTCCCTAACTCATTTTATGAGGCCAGCATCA